TCATACTTGTCCAAAGGTGGGAGCTTGAAATCTCTGGGCAAGGGGACCGCCAGGAGTTCTGATGCGAGGGGGGAAGGAACTGAGAGAATTGGGGCAGCTCTTACCTCGTACGAGCTCGTCTCTTCCTTACCTCTAAGCTCGGGTAGGACACGGGTGGCAGTTCGGCGACTTCGTCGGCGCCTTCGTTGTTGAGTGGGCCTGGTACTAGCGCTGCTGGCCTMTGTGTTGCCGAGCTCGATGGGCCTGGGATGCTGGTAGTCTGCTGCCAGGGCGCCGAATCGGTTTTCCGTGAGCGGGAACTCGGGTCTGGAGCGCCGAGGTGCTGACCTTGTGGGCGAGGTTCCTGACCCGCCTGTGAGTTGTGAGGCAGGGGTGATTTTTCTCTCTCTTTGGCCTGGGGACAAGACCTGGCTGTTAGGGGGGTTCTGGGGCCGAGAGGTTTCTCCCCGGTGAGGGCGTCCACCCTGAGGGGAGGCCTTAACCGGCTACGGGGCAGGATACCGAGGTGGAAGCAGTGACTGGTTCAAGGGTAGTTGGGGGAACTGCTGCTGATAGTGATACTGGGAGATGTTGTGCAGTACTTGGTGCTGCTGAAGCTGGTGTTGTTGGAATTGTTGCATTTGGGCTTACATTGCCCGCATGCATTGCATCAGGTCGTCCAACCGGTTTTGGCCGATTGCCAGGGGACGGCAGTTGGTTCAGTGAAGGTTGTCTCGATCAAGGGAGGAAAGGGGATGCTCATGGCAGAAAGGTTTACGGGCGCCACTGCTTGTGGCGCATTCAAGCTGGGGATCCCATCCACCGAAAGGGGGATGGTGAACTGTCCGACGCACACCACGGGGACTTGAAGTTGCTCCCCTGTGGTGTTTGTCTCCGTGTCATGTCCGGCGTTGCTAGAAGAAGCCATGAGTGTTGGGGTTTTTGAAGGAAAGAGGTTATGAGAGTTTAGAGGGAGGCTTTTAGAAGCGTTCCCATAGACGGCGCCAATTGATGGTGCGCAATCCGGCTGGTCCTAGCTGTCAACGACCTTGCCTCTAAACGAAGCTACAGGGAGCCTGAAACAGAGAAGATGAGGAAGCTCCGGGGGGAACCCGGTATGAATGCTCCGAAGCTCAAGTTAGAATTCTTTAAAAGGCAAGATAAAACCAGATGGCGCAAAGTTCACGTACCTTGTTCTTGGGGGTAGGGAGCCTTTTATAGC